AGAATTAATGGCGATTGTGTTTGTGTCGAGCGTTTTGTTACATCGAATTCACCGGCAAATTAGGGAGTATAAAGAAGGGATATACGCATGAAAAGTAGATTGCATAGTCATGTGATGCACTAAAAACATTAATGCCTGCTGTTGGGGGCACTATGCTCTCATAGTGTTGCTGAGGGAAGGAATAGTGCCCGAGCGGTAGCGAGGGCACTATTCCGTCCCAAAGCAACATTATGAGAGCATAGTGCCCCCAACAGCAGGCATTAATGTTTTTAGTGCATCACATGACTATGCAATCTACTTTTCATGCGTATATACCTTCTTTATACTCCCTAATTTGCCGGTGCATTCGATGTAACAAAACGCTCGACACAAACACAATCGCCATTAATTCCAAAATCTTACGTGGCGCCCAGACGCAGGAGATTCGTGACGTAAACACAATGCGTTATAATAACAATGCGTCGCGCAAGCGATAGTGCCCGCTAAGGCGGTCACTATCTCTTCATAATGCCTGCTGCGTTATCCAATGAGATTGCAGCGATTCATCACGTCATGCACTAATGTTCCATAAGCAAATTGTTCTAAATATTTCGTATATGCACGTGGCGATGACGCGCGTGCAAGTGGCGCGAATATCTCGTTAAAGACACTCAAACGGGCGGGACGCTAGCATAATTGGACTGACGGAATGTCACAACTACACGACAAGACCCATTTTACTTCTAATGCTTTCTACACGTCCACGAGGCATCTAGCTAATTGTGTGCATAATGCAAATTATTGCACTCTAGTGCCGAATTTCACCGGGAAAAAAATGCAAAAAAATGCCTTTTCTAGAAACCAAATAGTGCAACAATTTGCGGAGGCTTACTGTTGTATGCCTCGGCTCCTATACGAGACACTCTCTACTGTTCTTGTGTTTCGTCTAAACAATAAGCAGTGAAATGAAAGACGGGGTGTGTGGTGGGGCTTAATGTTCTATAATAATGTTCTATAATGCTCCATAAGCACAATGATCTAAATATTTCATATATACGCTTAGCGATGACGCACATGCAAGTGGATCGAATTTCTCGTTAAAGGCACACTAGTATAATTGGTTACGTGAGAAGATACCCAAGAACTGTCGTCATCGTCGTGACTGAAATGATAAATAGCAGAATAAATGAGCCAGCATTCGTATCCGTATATGACTATCGCGTCACTCACGTCTTGCTAAACGCTGCGCTATGGGAATGTTGTAGGCGAATAGCTTTTGAATGGCAGATCACAAATTTTATGAGGAGATACACTGCGACATAGTTATATTGCAAAAATGTCGTTTAATTCCATTTTTCCAAATCCAGCTTCAATGTATGTATAAATTTTTCGTTGATATCTAACCCATTTTCGCGGTCATCTTAGCATCCCGCCCTTTTACAATATTTCTGCTTACCGCTCGTCCAGTAATAAGGAAATCAAGTAAAACGCCACGAGAAAACGCCCACGTTGGAAGGTACTCGGCTATAGAGGAAACATCACAAGAGCAAACAAATGCAATGCACCTTCTTTAACCTGCCAGTAAATATCGACTGATCGAATCGTGTTCATAATAAACATGTGATAATAAACCCAAAGCCTCATCTTCCAACTCCGCGCACAATATCACCGCTACCGTCTTTTCCCGCCACAGGTTTGCCGGCTAGGATTTTCATGTGGACGGGGCATCACATAGAGGTAGAGGGAGGCGATGTGCGGCTACTCTGTAGACACTCTGGCTTCCCCCAGGCAAAGGTGACATGGTACGGGCCAGAGAATAACCTCGTCGGTCACAAGCCTAGCGGAAAATATAAGGTAAGATGTCGGCCAAGCACTGCCCACGCAACGCTCACATAAGCTGTCAGTATATCCAATATATGTGTGAATTATTATGTAACCTGTCTATATATTTAATGATAATATATATATATACCGTATGTTACCTCCATATACTAGAGTAGATCATAGCAAAAATGTCATTCTGAAATTAGATTTAAAAAAAGATGTAACAAACCAGTTGGTATTAGCTACTCTTGTTATTATCAATATATCGGTTCATATGTTACTCACTTTCCATTATAGTTTATAGGAATTTCCCCCTTTCAATTAAATTTCCTGTTCATGCGACAAGGCGCATACCATGTGAGAACTAACCCGTAATAGTAGGTAAATGTCACACACAAAAACCCCCCAACCGAACAGTTTTACCACCTGGCATCCTACACTACATGCAACTCGGTGCAATGCACGCAATCAAATAAAACTCGACATGTCATACGAGATTATAATTACAGTAATACACGCCCCTAATTGCAGATAATGAGAAATGGAGACCTGGTCGTTAGCCACAGTTCGTGGCTGGAAGACATGGGGGAGTTCAAGTGCGTGGTGTCTAACCCGTACGGCAGAGACGAGGCATCCACCTTCTTTTACCCTGCCATGGTAAGCACAGCACCATATAATAATAATAATAATAATAATAGTAATGATGATAATTATTAGTACTATTCCTATTACTATTGCTGTTGTTGTATGATTTAATCATTAAATCAAATTAATTTAATTAATATTTAACATTTATATTTTTTACTAATATATACTACTTGTACTTACTACTTATATTTCTACATGTTCTTTTCACTAACTGCAAACCGAGATCATAGAAAATGTATGTAAATTAGAGAGGGAACCCCGTAGAATAGCTAGGGAGGGCCACTAGCTGAAGAGAAGGAACAATCGGTGAAGCCTCATCATGATGCCTCGCGCACTCACGTCTCTCTTCTTTTCCTCTTTTTCCTCCCACGTGCAGGCTGACGATTCGGAAGGCTTCTGAGAGCCCGAACAGTCGACCATCCAAGTATTACTGAACGCCAAGAGTCGGAGAGAACGTGAAGAACTCATGCTCGAACACTAGGGGGCAGCACTATCGGTACCTCGTTCGCGACCATCACTGCATGGTCGTCCTTTGGCGCCGATCTGACCTCCTCACTACATTTTTCACGTGGGACGTCGCCACCAGCGCGTTTGTGCTTGATGGCCCACCCACAGACTAACGGATACTGTATCCGTTAGTCTGTGGCCCACCTACTACTACTCCCGTTGTAGCACAAAGGGAGAAAACTCTGGGATAATTATGAGACGTCCAGCTCAGACATGAGTTCGGGGGTCCGTCGTGAGCATAAAGGAAAGCCTGGAAGATGATGCGAGGTACACACGTGAATGTCTTTATTACTGCCTTGATACTCTTCTTCCAACGTATAGATCTCAGCATAGCTCCTACGGGGCGCATTCACACGTTAATTGTCTATTGCCTCTACAGATGGCACTGCTGTGTGTTCACCATCTTGTACGCGATGTGTGCACTTTTGACCTCGCGCTTTTTGGCAGTAGTTTTTACATACATGTATGAGAGTACGAGATAAAAATGCTTTCTCGCCAATGACACGCATGCACCCGCATTTATCGGACACGTGATCAGGGAATCGACTAGTCCTCAAATACGCTCATAGCTAGCTAACTGCGGCGTACACGCATGGCGCATGTAGGTTTTCAGGAATTCTATGAAATGAAAGGTCATTTACAATCATTCCATGAGAATGAGTTCCTTTCAGGGTTATAGCACAGAGTTTTCTCGCTAACAAATGTATTTGCAGAATAATATGTAATGTGGTAAATTGTCGATCATACCAACAGTATGTTAGACTAATTGTTTAACATACTTCCGAGTATATCAACAAGGGACCATATCACACCATTAGCATTACCAAACGGTATAATCACGAGGTGAATGAAGCAAAATACTTTAGTAATTATTTAAAACTAATAATTAATTAACAGATTTGATAAAGCAAACTATATCTCCTTACTGACCTACAGATTGAATTGAATTTTGAATTTGAATATGTATTTGAATTTGAATTGAATTGAATTGAACCGCTCTATTGCACGGTTCTGTATCGCTTTAGCACGTGCCTCCTCCCAAGCTTGCTTTATTTCACGCACATTAACAGGCATTGGATCATCATAGAACATAGCGCTTCACCTATTTAATAAATTATTGCATGAACATTGTCGGCATCACTGCAGCATAGAAATCTAATATTTAGTGACGACGCGGAAAACACCAATATTAATTACACACACCAAGTATTGATGGTCTATGAGAATTCATTTATTTATTATTTATTTTCAGACAATGCTTTTTGTTGTTGTAATAAAACATTCCAATTCGTAAATACTGCTTACTGTTGTTTGTTTTCTGCTGTTAAGATACTTTTCATTACTAAATCCTACTCTCTTGTTAACTCTCTTCCTAGTTACCACCGTTCTCCTGCTCCCTCTTACTCACATGCAGACGTGCCTCTCTCTTTTCCCTTTAGTATCCTGGATTGGAAGCATTTGATGTTACAGGTAGACCGCGAGTAGAAAGGAATTTCGCATGAATCTCACTCACAAACCTGATTCCTGCTATTGAGAATGCATCCATCCACAATACACCTCTGGTCGAAATATAGTGATGACTGCCAACAGATGGCAGGACGAAACATGACATGTCGATCACACAAATAACTGTTAAAATCGACCTCTATCGGCCAACAGATGGCAGCACCAAGTCAAACCAGAGAAGGCGCGGCCGTTCTGCCCACACACAAGCTCACACAGCAGCATATCAGTATCTCACAGGTGTGGGAACTGCGGGAGGTGACGCTTGTGGTAGGGTTCGTAGATGTCGTCCACATAGTACTTGGGCCGCTTCCAGAACTTCGTCACCATCTTGTCGAGCTTGATGCCCTGCCGCGCCGTCACGAACACGTGCTGCCGGAGGCGCCACTGGCGGCGCCCGCTCTTCTTCCACAGCTTCTTGTTGCGGCCAACGCGCGGCCGGATCCACCGTCCCCAGCGCAGTCGGAAGAAGCGGTCCACGACTGGCCGCACCGTCTTGCGCTTGCCCTTCCTCAGCGAGAACTTGATCAGGTCTCTCCGCGGGGTTACCATGGAACGTGCCGCAGCCAGCAGCGGCCTGAAATAAATCGACATTGTGACAGTCTCTGCTCACATGAGCAATACGATATACACGAGTACTGGAAGTTGTGTTGCTATAGAATGCAGCAAGTCATGAAAGCTCCCACTATAGCCAGGCATATGTAACTGACGCTCGAAACAAATTGCAACAGAAATGTCTCAACGCTCTTATGCCTGGAGGAGTGCCACATAACAATCAAAACTTAGGAATCCTGTGTGGAAGTCCATGCGGGCCATTTCAAATGCCCGCCATAGAAAAGTATTGTCCTAAAAATCTCTGCTTCTAAAATAACATTAGACTTTGATTTAAGATGCAAACATACATTTTCAGGACAAGAACAATGAACACACATCTTTGATAAGCAAAACGCCAAAAAGTCCGAAAATGGCAGCCATTTTCCAATTACCGGCCATAACACCTGATATCACATTACTCCCCGCTCTAAATGAACCTTAGGGCTAGATTTAAGTGCCAAACATACATTTCGGGGCCAGGGAATCCAAGACACACGTTCAAATGCGACATCAACACATGCTGTTTACGGAGTGCGTACTGGTGAATCTGTTGAGGAAGCTCCGCTTGCCGAAATTAAATGCATAAACACGTCGGAAAGTATCACAGCCCAGAGAGCGCGCATGAAGAAATGTGCTGTGATACAGCGGCCTAACTGCGCTGAACAGCTTCCCTTCCACACACCGGTTTCTTCACATCCTCTTGGCTAGAGTGAAGAACAGTCACATACTTGAGTTGGTTGGTAGATAGCAGGAATGAAACACGAATCTGTATCAGTGAGTGCTGGCAGACTCCACTGCCTCTGCAACATGAAGACAGCTCACCTGCAGCAATAATGCGCTGGCAACTTCTCGTGCCCGTATGGTGCTCGAGACAGTGAGAAAACGCGCCTTGGTAATTTCTTGTGCCAAATTGTCTTTCTCATGGGCCTCAATAATCTATCATCAAACTCACCCGCCAGCATTTACCTCCGACTCTCGAGTTTTGTCCTGTTGTTGATGTACCATCATAGCCATTAATACACGAGCGCGTTGCCTGCTCCCATATTACTCTTGTGCACACATACTCGGTATTGCGTGCAAGATAATTTGTATATATGGCGCACCGTCCCATGGAATGCGCGACTAGTGCATCGGTTCAGAGTTCAATAGCATCTGCTAGCACTGCCTCTGTGGCTGTCGAGCAGGGCAGTGTGCGGAAAGTCAAAGCAAAGCTGTGCGTAAACCTGCACAGCCTCATATTAAACACAGACTCCAGAGTCCTCTGTAGCTTTTCACGCAACTCATACGCTGGAAAACGGCACTTGGATCCCACCTGTACTGCTCACCATCAATCTTACTGCCAATTCGCATCCCTAAGGTGATGCCTGAATCCTTCCCTCTTGATGTCAGTACAGCAGCAGTTCGCCATCCAGTGTCAGAAAGCTTTCCAAACAGTTTCACTGAGTCAATTGACTGACCTGCGCATGAACCCTTGTCGAGAATGCGGCGCAATCTGGGATCGAGCTGAAGGTGTTCTCTCTTGCAGATACTGATAACTGCATGGGGTCTTCATGTCACTGCTTGTCTAGCATTGTTCATGTCCTGTTTGTTCACCCAGTGTTTAGGTATGACAAACATAGACTGCGCATAGCAGGTTGACTTTAGCCACAGGCCAGCATGGAGAGCAGCATATGAGACGCATGTTAGCTCTGTCACTGCCTCGCCCTCGCGTCAGGAACCCCACTGCGATTCTTTCGACCATCACTCCCACAAGGACCTGTCGATGTGAATGATCTACGGCCCAGCACCGTCCCAATCAAAGAGCGCATCACTCTCTTCGGACAACATGGAAAAACTGTTCTACGAATCGATTGTAGCACGAGTCTGCCTGATCACCCTGAGACCTGCCATCCCCGCTGGCACATATAGCGCCCTGATGTTAGAGGTTGTGCAGCTAAGAGCTTATCAGTGGCAGCATTTCTGACACCAGCCCTCAGAGGCAACGCCCACTGCCAATGCGCTCAAATGCCTGACAAAACCTCCGAGTATGCTCACCATCCCATGACTGAACCAAAATGTGGTAGTCATAGAGGACTTCAAGAATTCGGTTTGGCCTGAGGAGCTCCCTTGGTCTCTGGTTACACACATCATGCCTAGCAGAACCCTCTGCAGACACGGAACCTTCGATCAGTTCTTGTAAGCGCAGCAAAGTGCCAGCAAGAAATCAGGTTTCCAGTTTCCGGTCCGTCGTCCCGGCCATCATCTGGGAACTGTTGCCCTCATTGGTCCCGCCACTCATGTGCTTCGCAGATGGTTGAGGACGTACACACATCAAGTATGTCTGACAAAATCAAGGCATTCAGTGCTGCAGTCAACAAGGAGACGCCTCGCACTGCTCGGTGCAAATAGCCTTATCTGTCATCAAATATGTACCACCAGCGGCGTTGTCCTGCATAGAATTCACTATCAAAAGCCTGCATGGCCCTGATCCAGCCATGAGTGCCCATGATCTTACCCAAAAATCCATTTCTGCTGTGAAAGCCCCCAGCGCAACACTACTCATTCAGACACTTCGTGTGTGCTCATACTGATACATGAAGGGCATTCAAATAGGGTGGTCAAAGATGATGGGCGTAACACCAATGGCGACGGAGCATGTCACTACACGAACTTCAGTGTGGAATAGATAACGTTGGGTAACAGGCCCATGACATGTGGTTTTGCTGCGCATTGCGGCTTTTAGTCAGTTTAGCCTTATCGAAACATGTTTCATGAGCCTTGTCCCCTGAAATGTATCGTTAAGCAGCTTAAAATCAAAAGCGTCTAATTTAGTTAAACGGAGCTAGGAAATATCAGCTGTACTGGCGCCATGTGAAAAATGGCCGCAATGGAACCTTCCAACCACGAGGATTCCTATAGAGTGACGTACTTAAGTAGAACACTTTCTGGGTATGTAAACACATGACAGACATTCTCTGTGCAATTTGTCCGAGGTTTCCCATTTTTCACAAATGCCTGACGATTAGAAGTCCAGAGGAACATGCAACTTACGTGCTAACACTTTTTGTGTGTGTTTGAATGTAATTTTTTGTACCAAATAATAAATTCTTTAATATTTACAACTTTCTGTAGTGCATAACGCTTTTAGCGATATTATTATTTGATAAACATTCTTTCTGAAAAATGTGCATTACTATACATTTCATTCTATCTCATGAAACCAAACAAAATATAACAACTACACACAGGTCCAACGCTTGACTAACACTTTTTTAGCACTAAAACTTTATACACACAAATGTAGAAACCCCAGTTAGTATACAGTGTAGTACAGCCAGATAATGTATGGAACATGCAATAAAACACCTACCAGTGGATATTATTAAATAAATTAAAATAAGTGTGAATATTAAATGATAATTTAAATCATATACTTTCTATCTACAATTATTATTATATGCGAAACAACCATGTATAATAACTACTAACATTAACCATTAATGCTAAAAGACCATGAATATCCATTGTAATCCCACATGCACACATGACGGGCATGGCAACTGAATGACGAGTAAACTCTTACTTCTCACATTCTTTCTTGAGGGGAGAAGCTGACATCACAGTTGTCAAGCCACTACAATGTGGTGTAAGCACACGTGGCACGTGCAGCGTGCTCTGAGGTTGACACCCGGGCTGAAGTCGGGTCATTGTCCAGCTGCATGCTGGTAGTGACGTCGTCATTCGACGCACAGGTACTGTTAATGCCTTGCTCCTCACATCGCTCAGCAATCGCTGGCTTCCTGAAAATCGAGGAAAAATCACGAAAAAATCGCAAAAAAATCATGAAAATCACGAAAATCCAACAAACTGGTTTGTTGCTAGCACAGCATTGATTCAGCAAGAAAGCAGCAACTTGGTTCGTAATATTTTCTGTGCAATTATAAAGCAAATGTAAATATATAGTGGGATAGTGGCTTTAGCGTGTTTGCAGTTTGCCAGAAACTGTCGAGGGTGGCTCCTTCTTAAATTGGTTAAATAGTTTATCACAAGCAAGGTAACAAAACAAGTTCGGAACTGAAAAGTATTAAAAATCCTTTCTTATCAAACAATAAAAACATGGTGACCTTTTGCTTTAGCAAACATCAAATTAATTAACAATTCAAAAAAATCTTCAAGCTACTTAATACATACTGTAATAATGGAACAGAGATTGGCTATGAAAATGTTTTTAACTCACTTACCATGTACTATGAAAAATAAACACCTTGAAAACCCTTGGGTTGCACTTTAAATTTTAAAATGACCAACCCCCTTCCATTACCTACCATAATCCATGTTCCACCACGCACGAGAAATGAACAGATACCCTTTCACAGAGGTAGAAATTAATTGTGAACAAGGGAGTCCAACGGGGACTCCCTTCCCTCCAAAAGAGGGAGTTCGCAGTCTAAAGTTTAAAACTAAAGATATTAACAATAACGCATGTGCTTATTTTTAAGATTCATGCGGTTGCACATCTGCCAAATTTTCTTTGGACATTTGCTGAAAAATATACGGTAATTCCAGGAGGCCGTGCTCTGGAACGAACTAGTTAGTATACATAGCAGAATTTTCAGGGAGTCACATGGAGTCCAACAGTAAATCAGGGAGATTTGACTCCGGACATGCGTTAATTTGGCACCCTGAACCAAGTTTCTTATTTCAGAGGAAATCTGATGACTGAAGGGGTATATTTCCCTCTGGATTTGTTATATATTTTCCAAAAGCACCCCAACCAACTCCATACAGCCATATACCATATAAATAATTTGGAATAAAATTGAAGCGATACAAGGTTCGCGAACGCGAGAATTTCGTCAGTCTTTCTGTGATGTGTCTCATCTGGTTATACACGTATAATGCTGCCATCTGTAGGGAGTAATTATAGGAAACTTTAACACATATAACTGAAGTTTATAGTTCCTATATCAAGTAGCTTTTTATTCCATTTCCTGCAAGCATATTTATCATGCACACATCATGCATATTTTTCAAGAGGGTAGGAGACAGGAGTAGAAAGGTGGAAGTGGGGATGAGGTTGCATGTACTATGTAGACGCAGCTTTACTTTGTCTACTTTCTGATTGCCTTTCCTCCATCAACTTCCCCTCTCTTCTTCCCTTCTTTATTTTCTCTCCAGCTCGATCACATTCCTCTACCTCAAACACCCCTTCTCTACCATTTGCCGTTGTCCTCTTCGATCTTCCTTCTCCGTTCTCGAAGTTCTCCCCTGAATACACCACTTTCTTCTGCCTGCATGCTTCGTTCTCCCCTTCCTCCAGATTCTCTCGTTCATCTAGTTGGTGGTTTCTCTTTGTGTTTTACCTTCTCCCTTTCATCATCCACATCCCATGTTCTACACAGTGTGTTGTGTTACACAGTACTACTTGAGTACACATTAGTCAATAGTAATACTAATAGTACTAACCGGGCCCTACTTACGAGTTACGAGTTACGAGGTGTACGTTACGTAGACTAGCGAATCACGGTACATACCGTTAGTTTGTTTT